TTCCGTAGGTCTTTCCATACCCTCGCCAAGGGGGCTAATCCAACAGTCCCGTGGACACGGGTCGCACACGATTGGACACAGCCACCAGACATTAGGGAGGCGTGGAAACGGATAAGCACAAACGACAGCGGGTGTGGCTTGCTTTGAGTCCCCCCCAGTGCTACCGGAGCTACATCTAGGTCACGTCTCACAACTAGAAGATAGCGTATCTTGAGACCAAGACATCGGATACCTATTCCTCTAGTGACAAAACCTTCAGTACATTAAGTAGGTTTGCTCAATATTGTGACAAGAACGAAACCCCTGGCGAGTTCAACTTGGCATGATCCAAATTTTTGATAGAATGTATCCGGAAAACTCCACGCTAATCCCAAACCGAAACAAAGACAATAAAGCTACAGGCGTCTTACACGAGGCAGATCTCACCTTGTGTAGACCTTGAGAAATTTACATCCCACGAGTAGGCACCGGCCACAGACTTCATCCGTGATCTCGGCATCTCTGTTCGCTGAGACTCAAGCTCGACAAGAAACTGATCTGCTTCTATCAAACGTGGGTCGATCAGCGCAGGCTCAATCCATCTGGGCTCCTGTAGAGCCTTCGGGCTCGAATTATCATTCCTTGGATCGTTAGCCATTTATTCGAATGCCCCGGTAATTGAATACTCACTTGATTGGAGCTCTCCTCTTCACCGGAACCACTTCCTCGGGCGGACAACTTCGTATGACGACAAATTCGGTGAAGAGGTCCACGCCGCCTTCTGGATTCCGTTGGTGAAACCCAACCACCTTCCCTGTCACCCTCTCTCCTCGGACCCATTTTTGCTCATTTTCCGCATCCATAGACACGTCTATGACTCTGGTATTCCTTGGAGGCCAAGATGTTGACGGGAGAGCCGTCGGTCTCAGGTAAGCGTCCAACACGATCGAATGTTCAATCTCAACCATCCTCCGGGCTACCGCAACCAAGCTGTCCATTTCCCACAAGCTTTCACGCGGAAGGCTCAGCAAGGGCATCAACTGCAGAATCTGTAACCTCGTTTCGAAGTGGCGACATGTGCAGACGATCGAAAACAGCATGGGCAAGAACCCAGTCTCGAATGAAAACTTTGGCGACAAGCTGGACAGGTGTCGTAGCCGCGTGTCAGGCGAGATCTCGTCGGCCGTGTCCTTCAAAGCCTTGGCAACCCTTTTGAAGTTGTCCACGTATTGGTCGAAGCCGCATTCATCGCCGCAAAGAGCGAGGTTCAACCATATCCTGCAGCATTCGTACCGCGTGATCAGGAACCCTCGTAGTAGCTTCTGCCGGTCGTCCTCGGCGTCTTTCGCGACTGGATCATAGAGTACTCGGCTGTTAAGACTGGAAAATAAGTCATGCCATACATCTAGCAGATGGTTAATATGGCTTTGTGAGTCGAGGACATGTCCAGGCACAGGACTGTCCCTCGCAAGACCGGAGCGATAAGGATCCAGACGCTTCACAAACTGGAAATTGCGGTTGTAGATGTCATCGATCATCAGCTGGGCGTCGTGGTATGTCGGGAAATACTCCGGGATCGGGCGCTCCAGCCCCTCGAGGTCCGAGCAATCTGACTTCTCCCCAAAGAAAAATGACAACTCGACAAGTCTTCGAAACAACGGGAGAAGATGCTCCTCCATCCACGAAAAGTCTCGGCACACACTTCGTAGAATCGCCACACCGTGCTTGCAGTGTCTTACGGCGGCTTCGCGGTTTGCCTGCAGGAACTCAATGCAAATAAACAAGACGCACACAATCAGCACGATAGGTTGCTTGTCGCGTGTCTGAATGGCCTTGAGCTCGTTGATGGCCGCGTTGTAGTGTTGCAGAGCAAAGCTCTGGTCTTGCAAGTGTAGGCGCCGCTGCGGCTGCGGGGAGCCTTCGATTTGTTCGTATAGATTGCTGATGGCGACGAGAGAATGCCTGACGGACGGCTCGAACGTGCTGAACTGCATGACGATGTGCGTCCAGAAGTAGGGGTCCACGGTGCCGGAAAGAAAGGGACCAACAGTCTCGCAAAAATACTGCAGCGCTCGGCCCTCAGTCTGGCTAGTGACACCGTAGAATACACGGTGTGGTTGGCTCGTTGGGACCTCCAAGACTGCCTTGGCTGTTGATGGCGGCTGTTGATAACCATCGCATTTACGCCCGGTAGAGAGACAGCGGGTGCATGATGGTTTTGTCTCGTCACACTTGACTTTGCGGATCCTAGGGAGCGTTGGTCTCATGCACATCGAGCAACTCGTAACTGGCTAAAAAAACTAGGTCGACAACTCTGACTTACTTGCAGGTTATGCATCCCGTTCGGACTTTGCGGCTGCCTTTGCGCGCCATGCCGGCAAGATGCGGGGTTTCGAGTCTTTTTCAAACAGATGAACCAGACCCGATGTGAAGCTTCGTAAACCAACGGCGACTAGCGAGTGATCATGTCTGGTTGGAGTTTCAATTCAGTAATAAGAAGTCCCCCTTTGTTGCAGACTTGGTTGGCTGAGGTGTGGTGGGAAGATCCATGAGTCTGAGCGCCTCTCCCGAGTTGAAAAGGGTGACGGGGTGAGATCTTATCTGATCCACTCATTTGAGATGAAGTGGGGTTAGCAAGGGTTGAATCCGATCAGGCCAATGCCAGCCTGCGGTTAAAATGTTGCCTATTCCTAATCCCCTTGCTGCCTCTTGGCACCCGGCCTGATCCTCTCTGGGTGCAACGGGGAACGGCGTCGTGGTACCACAGAAAATCTTCAACAGCATGGAGTCTGCGAATGGTGTTGTATCGGCCTGCTGCCCGGTTCTTTTGCTGCTTCTTTTTGGTATAACAAGCACACCAACTCGGCCGAGTGTAGGATCACGGACCCCGAGAATGGCAAGAATGAAGACGCAGCGAATCGTTCGGCACAGCTATTTAGGGCCCACATGCTGCGATGCGACTCGAAAACAGGATTGGCGGAGGTACGCTTATGCTTATTATTAGAGGAGCCCTATGGAATCAATGGTCCCGATCGGGGCCGTGCCGCAGCTCCTTCAGGCAGCCGTTTCGTGTTCTATAGCAGACTGGGGACTCAGCCCTACGAATGTTCATCTGATTTCGCTTCATTTGCAGTGAACTCTGTAATCTGAACTCACAGTATGGCGGTGTTCCTGCTCCCCAGCTATGGCAAATGTTCAAGATCCGCAACGTCTTCTACGGTGATCATTCTCTCAATGGATCATCGCGCCATCATCACAATCTCAATTGCCCTGTGAGAGAAGATCAGAGGGTCCTTGAGGTAGACTAGCAAGGGGGGTTCGTGGGCTAGGCTTTTTCAACACTCCTCGTTCGGCCCCTCCACCCGGAAGCGTCGGATGGCCGGCCTTTGCAGGCAAAATCCCGGCTAACCTGTGCGATGTTCTTCACGCATCGCGCCTGTGCCTTCTGACTATTGCCTAAACTCCTATTAATATGCAGCAACTCTAAGGCCTCATGTCCTATCAAGAGCTCGCTAGATCAGATATAATTGAAGCTATCGATCCAATTGGAATCTGAATATTTTGAGGTTTGAAAGTACCATGGGGTTGGCGTCTTCCGCTGCCCTGTTCCGCTGTCAACTCAGCCCATCTGCAGATGTCACGTAGCCTCAAATGCAAAATAAGTATTCCAACACCAACGCCTAAAACATTCAAACTCCCCTATGTTGGGAATACTTCTCTTTTATGAAATCGGCTAGGTGACTCAGCAGCCTCCGAAATAGGTCTCAGGTCTGAGGGCCGTAATACTTGACGTCTACTACGTCACCGTGACCAGCACATTCTTGGATCCACAATTGCATTCCGGCGCCCAAGCTGCAATAAAACAAAAACATGAATGCTTGAACCCAATCTCAAGTTCACATCAGAATTTCATCTACATTTCGACGCTCTCTAAACACTTAATCTTGACAAAATCACCACGATGGCATCCTCTCTCCGCTCTCTCAGACTGGCCCAGCGCGTCCCGCAAGCGCTCACCCGCGCTGCCCCGCGGCCACTTACACCCAGCATCACCATCGCCCAACAGACACGCCGCCTCCTCAACACTGACACGGCGCCCGTACTCTACAGCGCGCGCGCCAAAGTCGTCGGCGCGCGGACGGGCCACGTCGAGGGCGACGACCTCGTTGTGGACCTGACGATGGCGAAGGCGCTCGGCGGCGCGGGCGACAAGGGCAAGACGAACCCGGAGGAGCTCTTCGCGGCGGGCTACGGCGCGTGCTTCCAGAGCGCGATGAACGCGTCCGCGGCGAGCATGAAGATCACGATGCCCAAGAAGCCCGAGGACTCCATCGTCGACACGACGGTGCACCTCGTGGGCGACATGAAGAAGCTCGACATGGGCATCCGCGTGGAGATGAAGGTGCGCGTCAAGGGACTGAGTGATGAGGAGGTGCAGAAGGTTGTGGACAAGGCGAAAGAGGTGTGTCCGTACAGCAGGGCCACGAAGGGGAATGTGACGACGACGATTGAGGTGGTCAAGTTTGGTGAGGGTGGAGGTTCCAAGGGATCTGAGGGCTCAAAGGGTGCAGACGGCTCCAAGGGCTCAGAGGGAGAGATTGATGGGGTGAGGCCTAAGGGTCACAGTGACTATCAATGAGGTCACTAGGAAGATACTTTGAGTGGGCATGAGAGTTACACTCGGTCTCTCATATGAGGACCTCACTGTTCCACTATAGATAAAAACATTCGCACTAATAATACAACCCGGCATGAATTCCAACCTCATCATTCCATGACCATCAGCAGTGTCGATGGATTCGCATTCAATAACCCCATCAACGTGAAGACAGGCTTTTCCAAAGTTTCCAGAGTCTTCAAACCTCAAACCCCCGAGAATATCCATTCAAATGACTTCACCAGTCATCCCCCCCGAGATTCGCGTTCGTCTTGCCAATTTATTTGTACATATGAGGTGGCGAAGGCGTACATGGTTGCAGAAGAATCTTCATAGGCGTTCCTTCAGCAACCAACTCCTCATCTCATTGGTGCCATCGTTGCACGTCGGAGCTCGGCTGCCGTGGCTGCACGTGTTGCAAAGGCACATCGGCTGCCGAATAAGACCCCTGGTCTCGATTGACGCCCTGTGCATATGCCACAGGATTCTGACCACTGCTACCCTCGCCGTAGTTAGGCACTTGGTGACCACGGTCGTAGACGGGGTATACAGTGCCGTAGGGTGGTTGATAATCCGCGCGGTCTTGATACACTTGACCATTGATACCTCCATGGCGGGATACTTCGTACCTCGGGCTGAAGTCGGTATACACAACGGGAGCGGGTACTTGATAATATCTCGGGCCTTGAAGAACGGGAGCAGGCGGTCGCTGGCGTTGGCTGTTGTCGCCCCTGAAGTCCTTTATCTTCGGAAGAGGAGGAGGTAGCGTCCCTGCGCGATCGAGAAGGTTTTGCCTCTGAACTGGATCTTCTACTATTGACCACGCATACCCATATTTCTGCATCCCATGCCAGACGTTGTCAAGCTCCGGAAGGATTCTGTCCCTCTCTGCCACGTTGCCTTCCGTGCGGTAGTTTCTGGGTTCAGCAGTGAGCCGCGGGTGGAAGGGGTACCACGGAGCCTCCACAGCCTGCAGTCTGGGCGGCATGTCCACTTGGTAGACATTGGCGTACATCGACGGGAGTAGATCCCGGTCGTCTCCCAGGACGTGATAGATGCTGATGTCATTGGCGGGCGGGGCAGGCTGAATGTTGACGAAGACCCGGGCAGGGCGGATGTTGTTGGCGGCCGGGGAAGCAGGGAGGGGAACCTGATCCGGCGAGGAAGAGGGACGAACTGTCGACGATCTCCTAGCCTCGGAAGCAGGTGTGTCCTCTCTGAGTTCGGGGTCGATGTCCATGGGTTGAATGGGCGCCGCTGCTTTAGGCCTTTTCTTATTCCCAGGCATTTTGGAGACTGCGATTTGTGAGTTGTGTAGTATAGAATTATCAAGCTGACGAGGTTTTGATCCGTTGGAGCAGAAACTGAAGGAATAGTCGCGTGCTCCCCAGAGCCGGAATGAGGGTCAAACATATGCAGAATCTTTATGGTCGAAGAAAACTTCGGGCCATGGAGGAAGCCTTTGCAAAGCTTGCAAAAGAATTTTCTGTCTCCTGCCAGGAAAACGCCAAAGCCTATTTGCCCGATCCATACATGTCGTTCTAATTGCGTTCCAAACATGGTCTTCAAGCTGCGATATCGTGAAGCTCGTAGCACACATATCACCTCAACTCCAATGACAAATGTCGGCATTTGATGTGTTCCAATCACTTATCATCTCCAATGAGATCAACGCTTCCACAATGTCTTTCCTTATTCTTTATATCGAAATTTACTGCTCTAGAGTCTCTACTACAGAAATCGCGAACGGTATTTGTCCAGGAATGAACATCACCTATCTGACCCGACACCATGGATACTTTTGTCAACTTGCAGCTCACCCTGGCCGCCAAGCGAAACCTTTCCATTGGCTTAAATTCGGTACCCTGGGGGGTTGTCAGCTGCGACCAACACACCAACAGGTTGGTCTCTGACAAGCAGCAAACAAGCGGGTCAGTCGGGTTGGGTTCCAACACGACCAAGAAAATCCACCGTCAGAAATTTGGTAGCGGTCAAAAAGGTGGTCTGTCCCGCCGGGCGTAGGCTGTTGGTTCACTTTGGTTTGTGTTCTCTTTCCTTTTCTCAATTTGGCTGGGCTGTCGTACAACAGGAAAGTGCTGTTGGAACGACCAAAGGTTCTAGGTGTATTTTTAACGGTGTGATCAGAAGGAGAGACGCCAATCCAGCTTTTCCGCCCCCAAAGCTGCGCAAAGTTTCTGTCAGGATGGACGATTCGACCCGACAGTCTGGTAACGCCGTCGGCACTACGGTCGCACCTGTAGATCCACCTCCGGCAGTTGACCATGATGCAGAGATTGAGCCTGAGGACGAGGGATTTGGTGTTCGTCATTCTTCTGAGCGTCACATTCATCTCACCCCTCTAATATGTGTATGCAGGACTTGGACTCTATCCCAGATGATCGGATGTTGGTTTTCCAGAAGCATTATCTATTATCAGTTGATGCCCGAGGCAGGCCGACAGCGACATTGATACTGATGAAGCCAGGTCATCCTACACGCGATCAATAACGTCAAGTGTCTTTGATTACCCGGTAGAATACGGGCGACGATACCATGCCTACCGCCAAGGCAGTATGTCCTACCGCTCCTTCATCTTCCGCCACTCTTTCTAATAAGCTTCAAAAGCCTACGCATTTCCAAACGACGAGGTTTGTGTCCTGACGGCCCCCAAAGGGCAGCTCTAATCCCTGCAGCCCGAACTGAACCGTCTTGATCTGGCTCATATCCTCATGTTCAAATCCATCGGCTACCGACTATATCTCGCTCCCATTAGACCAGAAACGACCCAGAGAATACTGGATATCGGGACCGGAACAGGGATCTGTACTCCTCTTCTTCCCCCGGTAGCGTGTGTGGTCTAATGATGCTTCCCAGGGGCAATTCAAATGGCTGATAAATTTCCACACGCTGAAGTAAGACTGCCCGGAGATGAAGGATTCTTGAACAGGAGCTGAGTCGCCTCAGGTCATCGGGACAGATCTGAGCGCAGTCCAGCCGGAATGGTAACACCCCTTCCGCACCCATCCCAACCAGTTTCTGACCACAAAAGACAGGCTCCCCTCCAACGTCAAATTTATCGTCGACGACGTCGAAAGCGCCTGGATCGACCCCAAGAAGTACGACTACATTTTCGTCCGCTACATGCTCGTCTCCATCGCGGACTGGCCGCGCCTGATCTCCAACATCTATGAGTTAAATCTTCCCTCATCCTACCCCCTCCCCTACTCCATCCTGGATCATAGCCTCAAATATCCTAACATCAGAACAAATAGCCACCTCACCCCCGGCGGCTACGCCGAGTTCCAAGACATGAACGGCCTCTACTACGCCGACGACGCCACCTACCCGCCCTCTTCATCCCTCTCGCGCTGGAACGCGCGCTTCGTCGACGCCTGCGAGGCCATGGGCCGCACCGCGCGGCCCGGCCCGGCGCTTGAGGGCTGGGTGCGCGCGCACGGCGGGTTCCGCGGGGTGACGCACAAGCGGTTCAAGGCGCCGATCGGGCCGTGGGCGCGAGATCCGCACTTCAAGGATGTTGGGGCGCTGAATTTGCGCCAGCTGCTCGAGGGGCTGGAGGGGTTCAGTTTGAAGGTGTTTTGCGGGGTGTTGGGGTGGGAGGAGGGGGATGTGAGGGAGTTGTTGGAGCGGGTGAGGGCGGAGTTGGGAGGAGGGGAGATGCATGTTATGTTTGATCAGTGAGTCTTCTTCTCGTGCTTGTGTGGCGAGGTATGAGGATGGAGATGCTGACGATGGTGATAGTCATGTTGTGTATGCGCAGAAGCCGGGTCTGCAGTGAAATAATAACGGTATCCCATGATGTGAATGTCGCTTTTACGTTACGCGTAACTCAAGCCTTCACCTCCGCCTTCCCCCTTCCAGGCGCTCCCTCAAATTTCGCCTGCCACCTCTCCTCCTGCTTGAACATCGCGACGCAGGCCAGCGCGCTCGGGTTGCCGTAGTCCGGGTCCGCGCCTCCCTCAAGTAGAGCCTTGTTGGTCTTCGCGTCAGCTCTCGCATCATACCAGTAAAGCTGATGCCAGCAACAATTAGTAGTTGACAAAAAGCTCACCTCAATCACCTCGTCCTCCTTCTTAAACACCGCGCCGGCAAGCGGGCTCTGGCCCCTGTCGTTGAGCCGGTTGGGGTCCGCGCCGTGCTGGATGAGCAGCTTCACGAGGGCGGCGTGGCCGTGGTATGCGGCGAGCATGAGCTGTTTCTCGTCAGCTATCATCCGCACTCGTGAAAACTCAGGCGGAATGGCCGAAATTGTAAGAGAGGGATCCGTACCAGTGTGTCGCCCTTCTCGTTGGTCATGTTCGCAGGCAGCCCCGCGGGTAAAGCCTGCTGGAAGAGCGCCATGTCGCCGGCGCGCGCGCCGTCGTACAGGCGGCCCGCGAGGGCGATGGCTTCCGGGGGGAGGGTCTGGGAGGCGGGATCCATTGTTTGCTACGGACTATCGCGGTCAATCTTGCGGACGTTTGTGGTTGATGCGTGAGTGAGTTGGATGGAGATGGTGATTGTGAGCCGAGGTTGTGGTCTGGAGACCCACCGTGGTTCGAATCCGCTGGGTGGTGTTCTTACCGAGATCTGTAACGATTCCTCTGTCCAATTGAAGTATGTACGACTTAAGAAGCCTGTTAGAATATCTTGTTGGATGAGACTATGATATTGGGCACGTGAATATGGAGCTGGATAAGTCGGCCGGCGTTCGGGATGGCGGGGTGAAAGCTCGAAGCTCGGGGTTGACGAGTGAGAGAGCGGATGACGTGAAGGAAGGTCATCCCGGGGCCCACAGCTTCAGCGGGGAGCTGTTGCTGGAGTGCAGAACTTGGGGGCTGCTGGGGCTGGTTGCGACCAATCATGGGCTTCTTATTTGGGCCGAGTGTGAACACCTCGTCTCACTTGATCAGATGAGCCTTGAAATGTTCACCGGCAAAAGGCTTTGAGCTTTTCTAACCTCAAATTCACTCTGAATGATTAGGGCCGATGAGATTGGTGAGTGAGAGTCTGCAGTGTACTTGCGGCGCTGACTCGTCTGAGGGAGGGCTTATACCCGCTAACAAAGTACTCAACCACACTCTTAATCTCATCGTATTGTTCATGGTAAATTTTATTTTGGCCTGACATTGTCCCGAATCTTCATTTCCACGACTACTTCGGAGCCTATTTCTTCCGAAATCACCTCACACCTGACAATGAGAATGAGATTATTCGAGATGGTCAGCATAGTCCATCCTCATCCCGCCGCGACAGCTTCGCTTGCCTTCAAAGCTCCAACAACGGCAAAACAGATTAACGGAGAGACAATGTATGACATCTACGAGACTGTTAGCAATTAAATCAATCACACAAATCTTATGCCAAACGTACCGTCAAAAACTTGGCAATCAACATCTTCTGCGCCTCGTCCGACCCCTCGCAGTCCGCCAGCGCCGACAACTTCATCGCCGACGGGCCCGTCGGCATGAGCATCAAGCAGAACCACAGCAGTGCATCCTTCGTCAGCAGGTCCGTCTTGCTAGCTAGCCCGTAAATCACCCCAATCGAGATGATGGGCCACACTACGAACCGCACGACAGTGACCGCCAGGAACGGCACCATGGGCACGTGGCTCTCCTTGGACTCGGACCCGTTCTTGAATTGCAGCAGCGCCTTGGAAAGCTTCACGCCCACAACGATGACCTGCAGCGTCGCGAAGAGGTCGCCGACGTTCTTCAGTGCTGATGTCAGCCACGCGTTGAGGTAGCCGCCGGCCTCGGGCTCGGAGAAGAAGAGGCGGTGCAGCGCAGGGACGAGGCCGACGAGCGCGCCGAGGAGCGCGCCGATGACGGGGGCGTTGACGAAGCTGGAGAGGAAGCTGAGGCTGCTTTGGACGGGGGCAGGGAGGGCGGACCAGAGGCGGTTGGTGTTGCGGGCGAGGCGGTGCTGGGCGCGGGTGCGTTTGGCGACGACGCGGTGCGGGAGGAGGGAGGTTCGCTCGTCGCGCTCGAGGTCCTGGGATTCGACGTCGTTTTCGTCTTCGTCTTCGCTCGATTCGTGGTCGCCGTCCTTGTCCGGGGCTTCTTCTTCGTGGCCGTTGAGGAGCTTGGGCCCGAGGGCGAAGGTGAGGGAGTTGCCGATCATGGCGTTGACAAGGAAGTAGCTCTTGGCTTTGGCGACCACATCGGAGCTGTCGTCGATGGAACTCAGGATGCCAGTGGCGTCGAGTGATTGCACCAACAACAGAGGCAGACTGGTGGTGTTGTTGAACGCAATAGCTGGCGTCACCCAGTCGGGCATGCCCAGGACCTTGTTCAGGAACATGCCAATGCCGATTGACGCCGTCGTGTAAAAGATGGCCCATAATATGATGGGTACATAGCGTAGCCCCTTGTGATCGGTTAGGAGATGCCGGCCAAAGTCTTCATGACGGAACACCCACAGTCTCGAGGTCGAGTTGCGACCCGACATTCGTGATCAAGAGTGCCGGCAGGGCCATGCGGACGCAAAAGGTCGATATCTTCTTGCTACTCTGTCCATCGAGAAGACCATACTGCGCGGCAATCACACCGACGGCGATGGTCAACAGCACCGATAAGGAGGCCTGGAAGGCTCCCAGGAAGGGGACGAGGACGCTTTCTGCCGTGTTATCCGACATGGTGTATTGTCAAAAGATTAGACGAACAGGCTCTATCCCATCCTAGACGGGAGGCATGGTGGGACTTTTTAAGGGCGAGAGATAAGGCACGCGACATGCCGTCAAACCGAAGCAGAAAGCTGAGCTTGCGCAGGGACAGAAGATGGCTTGGCGCTTGCAGGTTTCTGTGCTTGGCACCAGGAATGAGGAGCTGCACGAGGGCAAGGACGTCACTGCGCACGTGCCAAGGCGCCCCCTTGAACCCATCGAGATGCTTCATCTCGGCTGCTTTCAGGCGGTCTGTCTGTGGTGTTTTGGAGTGTTTTATCCCATCGAGATGATTTCCAGGAATTTGGGACCAAAGTGATGAGCCGTACAAGCACGATAGAGGAACGGTCCCAGGAATTCGGTGTTAGGGTGAAAGTTGACCGAAGCTCGGACCGTGCCTCGTGGCAGCTCGGTGAAGCTTCTTGCTGCCTTTCACCGAGAGCCGGGCAATAGCCACTCACAGCGCAATGTTCGTCTGAGGTCTCCATAAATAACCGAGCAAAGCCGACCCGCCAGAACGTCATCGCATTTTCACCAATCGAGCTCTTTCCTCGGTCCGCCCAAATTGAGCTCTCGCAGCAACCAACACAGCCGCCCCTCCAACGGCTCAATCGAACTCAATTGGAACCAAAGGACGCATTCCTTCTTCTCACATATTCTTTTACCTATTCCCACGACCCGATACCCCAGAGACAGCAACAATGCCTCCCCGCCTCGCCTCGCTCCGTCTCGCTGTCCGCATCCCGCGGTGCTCCTCCTCCTCTAGACCGGCCGCGGCCCTCTACTCTACCGCTACCGCCGCCGACTCCAACCAGCCGCTGATAACCGTCACCCAGCTTCCCGCTCCCGGCTCCGGCCACATCCGCATCCTCGAGCTCAACCGCCCGAAGGCCCGCAATGCCATCTCCAAGGCCTTGCTGTCCCAGCTGCGCGCCGAGATCGAGGATGTCCACGCCCAGTACACCGAGACGGGCGACGAGGCACCCGCGAAGCAGATCTTTGGCGGAGCAGCGGGGAAGGACGTCAAGGGCCCGACGCGCGCCTTGATCCTCGCCAGTGCCGTTGAGACGAGCTTCTGCGCCGGCGCTGATCTGAAGGAGCGCCGCGGCTTCTCTCAGGCGGAGTACGTTACCCTCCAAACCACCCCCCTAAAGACCGCCATGACACTGACACAAACCCTCAACAGGACCGACGAGTTCCTCGCCAACCTCCGCAGCACCTTCACCTCCCTCCAGAACCTCCCGATCCCCACAATCTCCGCCATCTCCTCCCTCGCCCTCGGCGGCGGCCTCGAGCTCGCCCTGTCCACACACTTCCGCGTGCTCTCCTCCAACGCGCTCGTCGGCCTGCCCGAGACGCGCCTCGGCATCATCCCCGGCGCCGGCGGCACCCACCGCCTGCCCGCGCTCATCGGCCTCTCTCGCGCGCGCGATCTCATCCTCACCGGCCGCCGCGTGTCCGCGCCCGAGGCGTACTTCCTCGGCATCGCGGACCGGCTGGTCGAGATCACGCACGACGAGGCCGAGAAGGCGGGCGAGGGCGACAAGGACAAGGGCGCGCTGCTGGTCGCGCGGCGGGCGGTGCTGAGTGAGGCCGTGAGGCTGGCCGGCGAGATCTGCGAGGGCGGGCCGATTGCGATCCGCGCGGGCTTGCAGGCTGTGAACTGGGCGAGGGAGGAGGTGGAGAATAAGATGTATGAGAGGGTTGTGGCGACGGAGGATCGGAATGAGGCGTTGAAGGCGTTTCAGGAGAAGAGGAAGCCTGTGTTCAAGGGACAGTAAAGAATGTGGGATTTAGATGTAAAAGAAAAATAGGTGGGAATGTATGAAGATGACTTAGTGGTTCATACGACCACAACTTCAAGGCGAAGTCGTACCTCCGAATAACCGGGTTGCTCGTATCACCATGCCATGGGTAGTGAAAAACTCACGGCGAGTGCAATGTTGCCCATATTCAAGGTGTTGCTATGCCATCTCACGCCGTGCTAACCGCCGGCTCCGTCCCGAAGTGGACCTACCCAGGTATCCGTCTCCCCCGATCCCGCTCGGCAGACGCCCGGGCCTCCGGACCGATAGATCGAGATCGCAATCCGTAACCAAGTTAGCCAGTCTCCCGTTCCAAGATCTATCGGCCAGTGTCTTGATCCGCTGCCGTTTTCACCGGATCTGTTCTCTACTAGACCCAATCTGCCACAACAAGCTTAGCTAGACCTTCAGCTCATTCCCGCCTTCCCGTCCAAAAGGTCCAGACCACGGAAAGGCCGAGGTAATGCAAACAGCCTCCTCTCAACAAGCAACAGACAAACAGTGGTGTGATGCAGAGGTAGACATGACGTCATTACCTGCACCGATCCCCACGGCCAAATCTGCGGGGAACACCACCAGACGACGACCAAGCGACGATACCTTGAGAGTACCTCCTGCGATCGATGATGTAGGTGTGATACAATTGTCTCGCCGTGGCCCAGAACGTCATGGCGCACTCGCCTCGCCCCTGCACCCCGCCCTTTTCGTGGTGAGATGCACTGTTGCAGTGGGGTTGGGGGCCCTGAAGCCGCTGTGGTTGTGGTTTAGCATGTGCGGCTAAAGGAGCAAGAGCCCCGCGACCTCAGGGCGTGGTGCCTGCCTGCCACCTGCCATCTGCCACCTGCCTCCGCAGGGCGGAAGGCGCGATGACATCACCCCCAGCTCATAGGTAGCTTCCTCGAGCTCTCTCCTTCCGGTGTGAGTGTCATTCCTTCCCGCCTTTCATATTTGAGGATTCCTCTCCCTCACAACACCTCTCCCGTCCATCAATTTTCCTCAATACAAACACCAAAAAAGCTACTCAGTTGCGACTTTTGATACCCCAAAAAACCACCAATAAACCCCTAATAAATCCAACCAAAATGTCATTCCTCATCGAGACCGTCGGCCGCCGCATGGCCACCCTCCCCCGCGTCGTCCCCAGAGCCGTCGCCGTCGCCCCCAGACAATTCACCACCACCACGCCCGTCCACAAGTCAGCCACCGAGACGGTCAAGGACGGCCTGAAGACGGTCGACCGCAAGGTCAGCGACAAGCTCGTCGACGGCATCAACCTCGGCTGTAAGTCCTGCGTCTCCCCCTTGCTCCAGGATGTATGTAATGACAAAAGACGCTAACATATGACTCCCACAGCCTCCGTCGCGGAAAAGGTCAAGGAAGTCACCCCCAACTCGCAGGCCGAGGCCGCGGGCAAGGCACAGGAGCTCAAGGGCGAGGCGGCCGGCAAGGCACAGGAGCTGAAGGGCGAGGCCAAGGGCAAGGTCAACGAGGCCGCGGGCAAGGCGAAGGGTACCGCCGACCAGGTTAAGAAGAACATGTAAGCGATTGGAATGAAACGAAAAGCATGGCTCATGACATGGGGCATTTCATGAACTGCCCCCGACTGTAACACTATTATCATAAAACCTTCATAGCATGGGAAGGGGACCTGGGTCTACAAGGGGCGTTTTAAGCTAGCTCAATCAACGTTGCGATTGACGATCATTTCTACTCTTTCATACTGGTGCTTGGGCGCGTGTCGTTCATATGTCTGTAGAGGATCGATTGTCTTGATGCTAGAGAAAATGTCGATAACAGTAGGACTTTCCCACAGCAGCCCTTTTTAAGGCCGCACAGATCTTGGGCCACTGGTCTGCCACGCCGTTTCCTTATGTCGCTACATTGAAGTCCCGTCATCCGCAAGATCCATGTGGTCTTGACGTTGCTTCCGGTTACTTGACCATACTGGTCGCTACAGCACCGACTGCATCACGAGGTCAGGTAATATTAAACGGAGCTTTGGTAACTGAGAATGGTCACAATGGCAACGGCAATGATGCTTTTGAAGCCACTGGGGCTTACGCCTCCTCGTCCCAGACCATGGAGAACCCTCAAACAGTCGGCAGCCTCCAGGTCTCCATGTTACTAGGCATTGCAGCGTCTCAGGGTCTGTTAAAGTTCGCCCAGAAAAGGCCATAGATCCTTCTCATTCTGCATCGTGAGATGGAAAACAGGTACTCGACATCTGTCAACAACCATCTTATACCACGCCATTGAAGCAACCGATCACTCCAATATACCCCTGCTTCATGGCGATAAGGGTGTCACTGACAGGGTAGATCCATGAGGCCATCATCTAACTCTATTGCCAGTGCATGGATGACGATGTCCACTTTCCCGAGGGCCCGGTCTCTTAACCAACGACCACCACGCTTTCCAGCCCGCCGGTTTAGCTTCGCTTCTTCATCTGCACCCGAAGAACCATCCCGTATTTTAGCAGCGTCTGGCAGCTCGCTGCGGGCCCGAGTTGGGGGAGACGACCACGCTACCTGCATCACCGGCGCCACGGCCGTCTATCACTAGCTCGCTATCCGCGCTGTAGCTATCGAATTGTGGCGTTTGACAGCTTTCCCCGGCGCACGTTTCGCAGCTTTACAGCTGTTCCTCAACAAGTGACTTGGATTGTTTCCGCTGATAATACGATGTTTATCTCTGCCGGCAGCCCTGAGCCAAGTCCGCCATCACCTGCGCGTGGTGAGTGCCTGATATTAGAGACGGCATCGTTGGGCAAGGGGCAATACGGGCTTAGCCAGGGGAAAGCTGTTGATGCACCCACTGGACTTTGCATGCCAGCGCCAAGGGGCAAGGCACGGAAGGGAGAGGTTCAGGAACTTGCCCCTGAATCGTGGTTTCGAGTGTGAAGAATGGGACTAGGTGGTCTTTCTGAGGTTTAGGCTGCGCTGAAGGAAAGACAAGCTTCTTTTGCACATTCTTCAGATGCTATTACTCCAGCGGCATAATTACTAGGAAACCTAGGGACTGCCCAGATGGTCTTTCCGTGGCCACGGTGACTCCCCAGCTGGATTAGCAGCTAGCCCGCTCCTAGAAACCAAGTGAGACATCGTGCTCCAGAACAATGGGCCCCAACCACACAGCATGTGCAAAAGATGCGCGATGTTGTTCCTTTTTCTAGGCAAAACATAAGCTGGTCCCTTTGCCCCAGCCCTACTGCCCCGATTGGCTGGGCTCTTTGCCTCTGCTGATCCCGCGCCCAGACATATGTTATCCTCGCCGATCTACGGTGTGCCATGTTGATGTGCATTCCATTCCTACGAGGCAACCTTCAGCTCTCCATCGTGCTGGCCTCAGTCTTGGCAGGAGCTACATCGACATCCGCGGCATTTGCTGCTCTCTCTTCCCAATGCATATCCAGGGGTTCACGACGCTTCTGCCGACTCCAGCAGCTGTCAAGCCAGTCTAGCGCCATTGATAGTGTTCCTAACCGAATCGTACCGTCTGCTCGGCGCGTGTAGCTGGATTATCCCCGTTAGCATCAATGTCTCCCGACCGCGAATAACGTGGCTTCTTGGCCAACTGAGGCTGGACCAGTTTGATTCCCGGAGACGAGTTGCTCTGAAAGGGCAAGTGTCTGCGAACGGCGAAAACGGGCTTGCTGTAGGCTCTTCTCGCCCCCCTATTGCGACTTACACCAGAAACGGCAATTGTGGCGCACACATCTGGATTGCCTCAGCCGCAGCAAAGGGATGGATTCTGTGCGGGTATGGAACGAACACACGCGCAAATATTCTGCCCACTCTCCCTTTGCCATCGGCATCTTCCCTCCAAGGGGGGATCTAGAACTAGACTAGAGATGATGGCCCTATCCAGCATTCTTGTATAATATTACCAATGTCCCGTTCCCCCCATCTGACCTGAGGATGGTTCTTCAGGTTTTCCCTGCCAGGTCTTCCTCGTCTTACACCAGAACCCCAAGCGGCTTCAACTCCAGCTAGGAGCCCTTCCTCCCTCTCGGCTTCTGGTGATACTCCCCCGTCAACCGTCCGCAACGATGTATCTCTCTCACCACCAAAAGCCGCCAATGTCGCCCATCTGGACGCAGCCCCTCCAGCACACGGCAAGGTTCCGGTACAGGACGCTCTATATCGCCTCCGCCCTCACCCTGCTCTCCCTGTTCTGGATCTGGGGCAGCCACCGGGGCTCGTTCTACTTCGGCAGCGGTCATGGCCGCACGCTGATGCCGTCAGCTGTATGGAGGACGCACACCTCGCACCTCATCCCGCCCAAGATCTGGCAGATCGTGTTGCCCAAGAAGACGCCGCAGTCGGACAAGGATTTGGTCATTGACGCCGAGAAGCTGGGTAGCTCGGCGACGTGGACGGCCATGAACCCGGGATACGAATAGTAAGCTTCACCTATCCCCTCAAAACCAACGTTCCACAAACAACCGACTAACACTCGACACCAGCACCCTCATGGGCGAGACCTCCGCTCTCGAATACGTAACCCGCCACTTCGCAAAGGAACCCCGCATCATCGAAGCTTACAAGAACATGCCCAACGTGGGCATGAAGTCCGACTTCCTGCGCTACCTCATCCTCGGCCTCGAGGGCGGCGTCTACACCGACACGGACACCGTCGCCCTCCAGCCCATCGACGACTGGGTGCCGCCGCACCTGCGCGACCGCGTGCGCCTCGTCGTCGGCATCGAGTTCGACCGCCGCGACGGCAACGGGTGGTACGACATCCTGCACTGGGTGCAGTTCTGCCAGTGGACGATCGCGGCGGCGCCGGGGCACCCCGTATTCCGCAAGATGGCGCAGCGCATCCTCGGCGCGCTCGACGGGCTGGCGGCCACGCACGAGGTGCCCGTCAACGAGGTCAAGCCGACGAGCACCGAGGTGATGAACTCGACGGGGCCGGCGGCGTGGACGGAGACCGTGTTTAAGCAGCTGCAGGAGTACGACAGCGAGCTGACGGATATCAAGAACCTGTCGTATATCACGGAGCCGAAGTTGGTGGGCGACGTGCTGATTCTGCCGATTGATGGGTTCGGGATGGGGCAGCCGCATTCGAATAGCACGGTTGGGGAGCCGCCTAAGGAGGCGTTGATGAAGCATCTGTTCCACGGTTCTTGGAGGGGAGAGTGAGGGACAAATGAAGTTGGAGATGGGATAATTAATGGCGTCGGCGTAATGGGGATCTGGGTTAACGTGGGATGATATCACTACTTCTTTTGTCATATACTTAGAGACGATCAATCAATTTCAAAGCCTTGGCTTGATGATTCCAAAACATGAACAGTTTGAAACATAAGTCTTTACTCATGATGTCTCTGCATATCCCTCTTCACTGATCGCGGCGTCTTACTGATGACTTCCATATCATGATATCATGGTAGAAACATCAATCTAGAATTTGTCCCCGAACGTCACTTTTAATGGTCTAAAAAATGCCAAGAGATTTTCGTTTCACGACAAAAGCTCACTTACTAGGAATATTTTTATGTGTCTATGGAATTAGTTTGGGGTTCCCGTGTGATCAACCTGGAAGATGATGTTAATGTTGCCATCCTCAGGTTGAAGTTACCGCTAATTTCCTCTTTGGGTCACCCGCAACCCCTTCCGCAGCTACCCGAATTATCCCGGCGGCACAGCAGTTCCAACATACCGCCATTCCGGAACATCTCGCTGCCGATTGAATAAGAAAATTCTAATCAGGACCCACGATGATAGAAAGAATAGTCGCATCTGCGATTTAGAATCAAGGCTTCTATCAGTGCAGTTGAGATCTCCGAGAATACGCGCCTGGGGAAGAGGTAAATGAAACGCCATTGCTTTGACGGAGTTCAGCTATCACCGATATGTCTTCTCGAGTGCTAGCAACATGTAAGGCCCACTGTAGCATTAAGCTAAGGAGATGTCATGCGCTTTCGACTTCCACATCTCCAAATTTGCAACTACGAACATCATCTCCCGCTACCAAGCACCCTAATGGAGCGCGTCTACTAGCTTTGGACGGGGGTGGCGTCCGCGGAATCATGTCTCTCGTCGTTTTGCAGAACATCATGAAACGCATTCAAGTCAGAAGGGGCCTGAAGGAAGAGCCTCGCCCTGTCGACTATTTCGAGCTGGCTGCTGGGACTAGCACCGGAGGCATCATCGGCCTCTTGCTGTTCCGATTCCGGATGACGGCTACCGAAGCCATCAAAACGTATGACGAGATAGCCAAGGATATCTTCAAACCCAAGGTCTACGGCTACTCTATTGACTTTCTCGGGGAGAAGATTTCTTCTTGGGTCAACAACAGCAAGAGTGTGGTCCAGAATAGTCGCTTCGATGGCGAATCTCTCAAGAGGGCCGTCCAACGGGTAGTCGCAGACCATGGCCTGGACAAGGACGACAAGGCGTTGAAGGGAGATGCGCTACTTCAGCACCCGGCGGCTGGCAGGATGTAAGAATACCAGAAAGACGCCCATATTGGTAGCCTCAGGGTGCATCATTGACCAAGGAGATGCATAGGATCATCTGTACAACAGCTCAAG